AACGCCAAAAAGTGGGTAGTTCCACAATTAGTTCTGGTACTATGAAAAGGTTCCTGTGGTGCGAAAGGCCCTCAAGAGACAGATAACAGAGTTTTACTTCTCTGGGAAATGGACAGTTTTATCTCTCAGGGGTTGATTTTTATTAAATCAAACAGATTTCAACTTTTTTCTTTTTGTTAGATAAAGGTCACTTTAATGAAGGTCACTTTATTTTTTGCTGTTTTTTTTTTCAAATGTCTTTTATTTATAGATGTTATTCTTTTACCCTTTTCCCAGATCCAGACAATTAATCTTAAAATATGAAAATGCATCATAAAAGGTACTTTCTTAAAACATAAATCATAGAACATTTGAATATCATTTTTGTATTATGTTTTTCTTTAAGTGTTAGTTCTCTTTTAGTTTTTATTTTATTTTTATTTTTTACATTTTTTTTTATCACCTGTTTTTATTTCATAAGAATAAACAAGTACTTTCATAGTCTGTTTCTGGATGTAAGGCGTATTACTGAAGTATTTATTGAGTTGCTCAACCTCAGCATTTAATTAAAGTGTAGGCTTTAGTCTTACTCTTGTTTTGTCGTTCAGTCCTTTCAGGAGTGCTTAATTAATGAATGCTTGATTAATGAGGCACAGTGTGTCACTGTTTTTTTAGTGCTTAAAGCATTAGTTTATTCAATCATCTAGCAAAGCTGCTTGTTTCATATGCAGCCGAGTATGAAGTTGGCCACATTTGAGTGCTGAATATAAACGTAATCAAATTCATTGATCTTTCACAGAAAGTAGATCAGTGATGCATTCTGTAACTTATATGACTCCCCACAGCCAAATACAGAAGCCCCTCTAGAGCTTCCTCATTATTTGATGAGCAAGTTGTTGTTGTTTTTGTAGCAACAGAGCTCAGTTAAATGAAAAAGAACAGAGATACCATCCGAGCCCAGTTTGTAGACATATCGTTGTGATGTTCTAAGCAGTGTATGAACTCACCTCACACAGGCTCCTAGTACCAGGAAACTATAGCTGCATTGTGATTGACAGGATCCATATATGCTGTGTTTGCAATATTTGTCAACTGACAAAATGTGTTTATTTGAAATGGACTAAAATGGCATCAAACTTGAGTCAGATATTTATTACTATTGCATGATATTTAGTACTATTGATTTGATACTATCCATAATACTAGAATATTTGCTGTTTATTAGCACTTATAATAAAGCACATATTAATGCCTTATTTTGCATGACCATATTTTTGATTGCTTAATCCTACCTCATACCTAAACTTAACAACTACCTTACAAACTATTAATAAGCAGCAAATTATGAGTTTATTGAGGCAAAAGTGAATGTGAGGTGAGGTGAATGTCAATGCAATAAAGTCAATAAAGGTCAATGCAACACTGAACCTTTTTATCACATTTATTATATACATATTATATTATATATGCAGTGACCGGTGACTTAATCTCCACTTCCTGTGAGGTGATATATTATTTCCTATGCCACCTACAGTGTCTATTGAAATGAAGCTTCCCTATGATTGGGAAGCTTAATATAGTCGAACATCCTGTAAAGTTTATTTCAGAAGGCACTGTCGCAAATGATACATACTGTACTGGTGCAGATGGTGAAATACTATTCAGGAGCAATTTCTTTTACTTAAGTCCCACACATTTCTGATGGATTTTCAGTTAAAACATACAAGCACCGTACAATGCTCTCTCTGAATGGGAAAGGACAGATTATGCTTTTCAGAATGATAAAAGTCTGTCCATAGTTTAATTCTAAGGATTAATGTGGCATTCTGGATTTGCTTCATGGGATCTCTGTGGCTTATGACAAAGCCGGCGGTCCACTGGAATAATGCGTGAGGATGGATATATTGCATGTGGGTGTTTGCACCCATAGATAAATGTGAGAGGGTTGGCGTCAACCTTACATTACAAACAAAGCTTACACTAATAGCAGAGAGTAAACATCCCCTTCGATAAATTTACACAAGCTTTCAGGTGCTGGTTTTTAAGTAACATGTTTGTATAAATGCAATGTATTAAATTTAGCTGATTTTAATCCATGTCTTTTTGAAAATCACAACAATATGCATATCAGATCAAGCAGGGAGTAGCATCAGGTATTAGATGGATTAGTTTATAGCGAGTTAAAAAGAATCTTAATCCTACATCATAAGCATGCTGCACCTTTTATTATTAATGTTATAATTTCTTCAAATCAAGGCTACATTTTTTTATGGGGGTAATCATTACTGAAAGTGTCTCATGATTCAGATGTTGTGTTCTGTTGGATTATGGGAATGAGATTTTCCATCTAAAAGAAGACGCATGCATGCATGTCAAGCACCTAGAAGTCAAAAGTCAACTGGATTTCAAGCAGGTGACAGTTTTCAAATTGTTTTAGATGGGATCATTTCGCATTTTATTATCATGTTGGTATTATCTGATCAGCTCTTCACACTCTTGCAAAAGAAAATATAATCCTGTGTTTTTTGTCTTGTGTCTTCTGATAATGTTCTGTCAGCTTGTTTTGTGATTATTTGCATTTTGCTTGCAAGATTCTAAAGAGAAAAATTATTTATTAAATGCATGCTGTTTATGCTTGTATTATTTTTTTTATTCAAAACTATTTCAGGTAAAACATTATTATATTATATTATATTATATTATATTAT